GGGGGTCATGGTGTGTGATACACCTCTTGGAGGAGGGACACAATTATAATAGGGACTTTACCGAACAAATGCAACCACTGTAACCTGGTTCTCTGCACCCTCAATGAATCGCCAAGAATAAAAAATAAAATAAAATGCCTATGTAACTCTTGCAAAGATTATGTACTGAGTTATAAAAGAAAGCACAATACATTTCTAATAGTAAAAATTTTAAAAGTCACATTATTGGACCACAGTACAATAACAACCAACCTCTAACCACCAAAACATCCCCCCCAAATTGAGCCACTTACAATAATAAAATAATACTTCTAGATACAACAGAGTCAAAGAATATATCACAACTAAAATTATAAACCAGAAGTTAATGACCTGAGAGTACTATATATTAAAGTCAAATATAGAAAAAATTATAATGTTAAATGATTTTATAAATAAGAAAGACTGATTTTCAACCAATGTGCAATTAGAGGATCTTAGGTATGCCACAAACATTTTTAAAGATCATTAATGAAATTATTTTCAAAAGAAGTTCAAAGTAGTAAGTATATTATTTTTTTGCTTTTTTTTTGGATCAACATAACTTAAGTGTGCCATGGAAGATTAACTATAGGTTCAAGTGTGCCATGAGATTAAAGTGGTTGAAAAGCACTGCTCTAGAGAGTCTAGTTAAATGAGAAAGAAGATTTCATTAAAAAAAAAAAAAAAGTGGGGCCAGGCATGGTGAATCCTGCCTGTAATCCTAGCACTCTGGGATGCAGAGGTAGGAAAATCACTTGAGCTCATGAGTTTGAGACCAGCCTGAGCAAGAGTGAGACCCCCATCTCTACCAAAAATAGAATAAATAGCTAGGCATTTTGGTGAGCACCTATAGCTCCAGCTACTCAGAACACTGAGGCAGGAGGATCTGCTGACACCGAGGCACTCTAGCCTGGGCAACAGGGGAGACTCTGCCTCAAAAATAAGATGGTTTGATAGATGACAGATACGTGATAAATCAGTATAGCAAAACATGGTAAAACCCTATGTGGTGGGTATGCTGGTGTAAAATTCTTTCAACTTTGTTGTATGTTTGAAAATACTCATAATAAAATAGATAAAAATCGCTTATACCCACAATATTGGTTTTGGAAACATTGCACTAGAAGTTTCATTCAAAATAGGACAAAGACAAAGATGCCAACTGCTACCTCTACCATTGAACATTTTTCTCAAAGTTTAATAAAACATAACATGTCAAGTAAATGTATATAAGAATTATAAATATAATAAGAAAGGAAATCATTTTTTGTAGATATCATTATTCACCTGGAAAACAAAAGAGAATGAATAGAAAAACTATTAGTGTTGATAAGGAAGGTAGGTAGGGTGGCCAATTATTAAAAGATTTCCCCTACACACACACACAAAAAAAAACAAAACAAAACTGAGAGTACTTCTAAGTAGGGGTGATGGTTGGGGGGGAAGGATGGTAAAAAGCAGCTTTATTGTTTTCTTCTATGTACAGTACTTCTGTGATGTTTAAATCTTTTACAACCAGAATGTATTCATGTAATTGTTAAAAAAAAAAAAAAAGAGAGAGAGAGAGAAAAGAAAACTGTGGTAGGCAGTATCCTAAAATACCCCTTGCCCCCCTGAGACTTCTTGCCCTAATTTGAGGTATGATGACTGTGATGATATCAATCCTATGATTATGCTACATTATCTGGTAAAAGAGATTTTGCAAATACAACTAAGGTAGCAAATTCGTTTACTTTAAAATAGGGAACTTATTTTGGATTGTTCCAATCTAAATGCGTCTTTTAAAACCTGGAAGTTTTCTCAGGCTAGTGGCAGAAGTCAGAGAGATATGAAGCAAGAGGATTCAACGTGCCACTGCTGGGTTGAAGATGAAATGAGCCGTATGAGGAAAACTGTCAGTGGCCTCTAGAAGCTGAGGGTAATCACCCATCTGACAGCAGGGAAGGAAATGGGGTCTTCAATCCTGCAACAGCAAGGGACTAAATTCTACCAGCAGCCTGAAAGACCTTAGAAGCCAATTTTCCCCCAGAGCCTCCAGATAAAAGCCTAGTCCGGTAACAACTTGATTAACAAACTGCGGTATATATATACCATGGAGTACTATTCAGCTAGAAGAAAAGATGGTGACTTTACATCTTTTGTGTTTACTTGGATGCAGTTGAAAAATATTCTCCTTAGTAAAATATCACAAGAATGGAAATGCAAGTATCCAATGTACTCAATACTAATATGAAACCAATATATAAACAACTACAAGTCCACATTAAAGAAAAACACAAGTATAGCAAGGGGAAGGGGTGAGGAGGGAGACTGGAGGGTGGGTGATTGGCAGGTTCTTACCTAATGTTACAAAGTGAGGGTGTTCAGCACGCCCCCTGGGTGAAGAGCTCTACTACATCTTGAATTTTGCCTTAGAAATGAAAACAATGTAACCTAAACATTTGTACTAGCAATCAGTGGTACCAATGGTACAAACATTTGTACCATTCAAATCAATTTGAAAATTAAAAAAAAGAAACATGTTTGCCAACATAATTCCTAATGAGTTAAAGAGCTAAACAAAAAAAATGCTAAAATATTATCAGGAGATAGAGGACAATGTTTCTAATCTTGGACAAGAAAGGCCTTATGTAAGATTCCAAATTAAAAAGTCATAAAAGAACTATTGATACATTTGAATACATCAATATTTAAAACATCTATACTCCCAAAGACCCTATAAACCAAATTTAAAAATAAGCAAACATCTGCAAAAAAAAAAAAAATTCCTACACATCACAAAGATTTATATTCAGACTACAAAATTCAATAGAAAATAATCCAATTGGAAAATAGAGACGATATGAAGATGCAAGTCACAAAATAAGCAAATGACCAACAAACATAAGAACATATTCCTTAACCTAGTAAATCAGAGAAATGTAAATAATGAGACATTTTTCACCCATCATACATGTTGAGAAAATGTTAAAATGATTGGTTAATATCCAGTGTGGGTAAGAATTTAGGGAAATGGTTATTCTTATTTACTACAGATAGAGGTATAAACTGTCTTTCTACATAGTAATTTGGCATTGTGTGTTAAAATCTCACAATGTAGTGTCTTAAATCCAGAAATTTCACTTCTCCATATTTATCTTACCAAAATACTTTAGCATATGCATAAAAAGCATATGTAAAGAATTTCATTATAGCAGTAATAGTAAAAAAGTACCATAATAGTAAAAGATTGAGAATGACATATGTTTATCAATTTGTAAATGATTAACTATAGTATGTTCATTCACTGGAACACTGTGTAGTAGGTAAAATGACTGAGGTAGATTTATAAACTCTGAAAAGATGTTCAAACTATATGTATGAAATGAATAAACCAACTGACAGAACAAAACATAAAATATGATGCCATTTATATTTTTTAAATGAACAACAAAACAAGGCTATGTATTTCTATTGTGTATATAAACGTAAGGGTAACTTTAAACCTATCCTTATTGAATAATGCACTCATGTGTAATTAGAAACCAGTTTTATAATGAAAAAAGAACAAAGCTGAGAAGTTAATTACATGCTAAGGAAAGGAATGCTTTATGATGCTTTAAAATGTTATTGACAGATATTTAATGAGATGACAAGCATAACATGCTATGACAATATAATATAATGCTATGATAATATTCTTGTTTAAAGCTATAAATACACATATAATTCATAGAAAAGGTTGGAAGAACATAAAACCAAAATATTAATAGTAGTTTTCATTGGGTGGGGAAATTACAAGTTTTTTCCTTTTTGTATTTTCTTTCTGTTTCCACATATTTTTTGAATATTCTCCAATCAGAGAAACGAAAATAATGTGTGTGTGCATGCATGCTCATACGTGCCCACACCTGCATGCCCACAGGAAGAATGGTATTGGTTGGAATTAGGACCAGGAAAGGAGTGGAGTTAGCAAAAGAACTAGAAGCTGCTGAAGACTGAAAATAAAACTAGGACTGTGGGGTATGTGAGATTTCAGAGTCAAAAGTGGGGAACTTAAACTTTATGTGGCCTAGGAGTTAACTGTAGAAAGGTAGGGGGTAGAATTAGGAGTAGAGATGATAGATTATTCTAATTAAAGCAGATGAGAGACTGTAATTAGAATATAAGGGTTTATTAAACTGATCTTTTTTTTGAAAACTATAATAGCAATGTGGGTAAGGGTATGAGAATATCAGAATAAGCTGGAATTCTATATTTCTGGTGTGACCATATATTGTTAGAACTATTCTGGAGAGCTTGTTTTGTATTTTGGAGACATGTAACCTTTTGACCCAGCTGCTCCATTTCTACAAATTTCTCCTTGATAAAAATCTTAGAAATATGCAAATATTTAATTACATCAAAATTCATGCATGTATTTCTATAATAAAAAAGACCTAAACATAAGGTTTTGGTTAAATAAATAATTACATTTACAGTGGAATAACACTCATTAAAAGTAACATTGTAAAATAATTGGACAATCTATTTCAAAGATGCCCCTGTACATCTGAGATTGTATATAAAATTTTCTGTGTTAGTACATATGGGGGGAAATGGATCTATTCAGCAGATTCTCAACTTGAGGCATGAAACACTCTTCTGGAGGGGTGGAACTAGAACTGGAGCAGCAGTCCTCAACCTTTTTTTGGCATGAAGGAATGGCTTCATGGAAGACAATTTTTCCACGGACAGGGTATTGGGGGTGAATGGGGAGTGTGAGATGGGGAGGTGGGGAAGGAGAGACGGGACAGGAGGCAGAGCTCAGGCGGTGATGCTGTATGGCCAGGTTCCCAACAGGCCACGGATAAGCGCGGCCCAGGGTTGGGTACTGCAGAACTAGAGGGTATAATCACTTTTTATTTTCTCTATGTTTCAAAAGTTCTTTGGATAGGGCGGCGCCTGTGGCTCAAAGGAGTAGGTGCCGGCCCCAAATACGGGAGGTGGCGGGTACAAACCTGCCCCAGCCAAAAACTGCAAAACAAACAAAAAATAAAAAAGTTCTTTGGATAGTGCTTATCTTTATACTTTAAAAGCCAAATACGTATAAATTCAAATCTTATTGAAGTAGTAAGAATTGCAAGTCAAAGCCCTCCTCCTCTCACCTTCGAATCTCAATCGGCACCCCAGGAGCAGCACCGTTAATGGGGACTCTCCTGCCAGATCCTTTTTAATCCTAAGCATTGACAGATGCAGATCCTCACAGAATCTCTGACAATCGCACTGCCATCCTAAATAATAAAAAAAGAAAGAAAATGTTTATTGAAGGCGTAGTATGTGCCTGAAGTGTTTTAAAGGTTTGCCTAAGTGAACTCACGGTGGTGGTGGTCGGATCCCTTGTACTCTCCCGGCCTTTGCACTGTGTTCTAGCTTGCCCTTTTGCCCCCAACCCCACTCTTCACAGGGCAGCTGGAGAGGTCATTAATTTTTAAATGTAAATCAAATTAAAATCAAATCATGTCCCCTTATGCAGTTTCCACCTTGCTTAGAACCAAATCCTAAATCTTTAGCGATCCTACTATCCTCTTATGGTTGCATTTATGTAGGAGATCCGGCATCACCCCGGAGAGAGCGCCCAGCCAAGGGGTAGGGGCGGGGCTTCTAGTGGGCTGGGTGGAGACTTAAATCCAGTGTGAGCCAAGCCAGAGGGGGCTGGTTTTCTACTGAGGGTGAGCAAGGGGAACCGGGCTGAAGCAGGGCCGCGGACCCCGCACACTACGGCAGGCCCGGTGGAGCCACTGCGGCTGAGGTGATCATTTATCCCTGGGTTGGGGGGTGAGCTCTGTTCGTGCAGCAGTCCTCAGCTCCTCCAGGGGAGATTTCCCACGGGACCCTGCGCTGAGGCACAGAGGTGGCGGCCTTGGGGAGCCTGCGGGAAAGGCTAGTGAATGGGCTGGACGTCCGGCCCCAACCCTCCCTGAACCCCGCCTCCTCTCCCCACCCCCAGGCTTCGGCCAGAGCCAGCCAAGGGTTAGCAGCATCTTCAGGGGCAGCTGGGCAGCAGCCGGCAGCAAGAACGGCAGACAGAGGGGATGCGAGGTATCGGCATTAGCCATGGCCAAGTGGCCGTAAAGAGGGAGTAGAGGCCTGGCTTTCGGCGTTTCTCCCACGGATTCAAGGAAGGCGGCCTCAGAGGAGAGGGAAGGTGAGGGGAGGGCGGGCAGGCAGGCTTCACGGGTAATTACTAGGCAGTGTGTTTGTGTGTGCGTGTGTGTGTATAATATATATGTATATGTATATTTTGGTATCTGAATGGTACTATACATACACACACAGATATTCATTTCGGCTAATTTCTGTTTAAAATTTTAACAACATGTCTTGTAGATCTTACTATGTTAGGGAATCCAAATTTATGTCAGTTTTTAAACAGCTGCATTGTATGATTGTACTACAGTTTAAGCATTTCCCGATTCCTGTAGCTTGTTTCCCTTTGCGGGGAGGGGACTAGCTATTACAAGTAATGCCGGAATGAATGGGTTTGTGTATATGTTTCGTGCACATGTATGAGTATTTCTGTAGGAGACATTCTTATAAGAGTAATCGCTGGGTCAAAGTGTATATGCATTTTGAATTTTGATAAATTTGTCAAAATTGCCTCACCAAAAGACACCCATTTATACTCCCCAAGGTTGTTCAAAATAGGCAACAGTGCCTATTTTTCCATTTGTGCCAACAAGTATTTTCAATCTTTGTAATTTTAGCCAATTTAAAGGGCAAAAATCGTATGTCATTATTTTCATTTGCATTTTCCTGATTACTAGTGAAACCGAACATTTTAATTTTTCCAATTACAAAAGTAAATAGGCAAATATCAATAGTCTTCCTGCTTATAAACAATAAGCACATTGAAAATTTAATACTAAAAAAATTCCGTTCGTAATAGCAAGAACAACGAATAAAAATACCTATAAGTAAACTGTAAAACTTTATACAGGAATATAATAAAAGAACGTTTGCATAAATGAAGAAGAGACACCATGCTTCTGGATAAGAAGGCTCTATTTTGTAGTGATGTCCGTTTTTTTACATTGATTTATATACTTGATGCAATTTTAATAAATATACCAAATTTTTGGAACTTAATATGATTCTAAAGTTCATCTGGGAAAAATATGGCTAAGAATAACCGAAAAAACATTATAAAAGATAATGTAAAGACAGGGGTATTTGTACCATTAGCTATTAAAATGTACTCTTACAAGCCAGAGTGGATCCCACGATTTATTGGAGAAATATTGTTGTTTAGACGGAAAAACTGCCATATTAAAAGCTTCAAGCACTCACATCGCCCCCCCCCGCCAGCTTGAATCTTCCTTTGAGGGCAGACTTCTTTGTTTGAAGAAAACCACTTTATAGGATATTTTTAGTTAGGCTAAGATAGAGCTTCAGTAGTTAAAATGGATGGCTTTGGAGCTAGAACTAACAATATGAGTTTTTAGTTAGATTGAGATGGATTCAGGTTAGCCTGCAGTGCGGAGATGGAAAGAGTCCGAATATTACAGGTCTTTTGATTTTTTTTTCTATCTAACGGGCAAAAAAAATGTTATGTCATCGTTTTCATTTGCATGCTTATTGTAAGATTGAACGTCTTTTATGTGTTAATCCAGGATATGTTGTTCCTGGAGGCAGGTAACAATGGGGACCCTTTTCTCCCCTTCCAGAAGGGAGTGTGGCTAATTGGTACAGCCCTACCCGGAAGCGTGAGAATAAACAGGTTGACTTTTTAAAATTTCCTCAAGCACTAAGCTCTAGACACCTAGATGGGGGCGGAGGCAGTTTTCAGGACATGGCCGAGATTTGGCGCTGAGCTATATTATCGCGAGGTTTGGAAGCCAGCTCCGCAGTGGGTCGGAAACCTCGTGGTAGGAGAGATCCCTGCAGGACTGGAGGTTCCTCCCTTCCCCGGAAAAACTCCCATTTTCACGAAGCCCCACCTCTCTCCTTTTAGGAGCAAGTATCAGATCTCGCGAGATCTCATGTTTCCTAAAGGCGAGGCACAGGCGGTATTCTGCGGTGAATTTCGAAGGTCTCGCGGAGGCTAAGACGTAATATCGCGACAGTTCTCAGCGCTTGCGGGAGCCGGTGGCAGTAGATTGGCTCCGCCCCTCAGTGCTTCGTGAGGTTGTGCGTCATTTGCTTTTCGCTTCGCGTAGGGTGGGAGCCGTGCTAAAGAGACTTCGGCTTTGGTGGGAGGAGGGTTCTGGGAAGGGCTGGGCTCAGGCTTTTCCCGTCCAGTAGAGGTTCTCGCGGGATCGCGCGGAGGCGGCAGCGATTCAGCTACTGACTGCAGTAGCTGCGGAGACGGCAGCAACGTCTCCAGCTCGTGCTGTTCTTAGCCGGTGAGTTCTCGCGGGAGTGGGTTTATGTCCTCGTGGGATTCGTTGGTGGTGGCGGAGGTAGCTTGGGGGTGAGGGGGAGTGACTAGGGTCCGTCCGCCTGCTGTTAAGATGGCGGCGGAGGCTCATGTCCGTCCGGCCAGGACCTGGGACTAAGGTGTTGGCTATCTGCGTTTTTGACGCAGGTACTCTCAGGTATTCAACATTAAGGAAGTGACGATTGGCGAAACACCGAGGTGCCGGTGAACCGCACCTAGGACGAAGACTACTCTGTTTCTAATCTGTTGAAGTGACACCATTTCTCGGGCCTCAGCCGCGTGTGGGCCCGCCTTTGCCCCACCGGCCTCCGTTGTCGCCGCCGCCGCAGTGGGCGGGTTGGGAAGGCTGAGAGGGGACTCTGGAGTTCGTTGGGAAGTGGGGTTGGGGGTTAGATTGGACAGTGAGAAAGAGAGGTCCTACAAACGATGACTGGACCCCTTACCCCTACTTTTATTATTATTATTATTATTTTTTGCGGGCCGGCCTCTGTTCTCAGCAGCTGCGACGACCCAGATGAATCCCCTAGTTTTTCTTGAGGTAGGGTCTTTGAGCTAAGGTTTAGGGATCAAGTTGTAGTTTTCTTTGATGTAGTATCCCCTTTCCCCTAATTCTGTCTTCACATCTTGATCTTACTTATTTACATGGACTGTCAATACTCACATTTAAGGGGTACAGCCTTTCCCTTTCACTTCTGTGCCAGTCCTTCTACTTCGGAGCTTACCCTGAGGCCCCTAGCGCATTGTGTCTCCCTACATTGGTCCCCTTGGCGCAGACGTTGAATACAGCCTATCTTGTTCTCTGCATTTACTTCATCCCTGTGGATGGAAGCGGGGTAGCCATCCATTTCTTCAAGTCGTCACGTTGGTATGGCCCTAATGGGGGGGATGGGGGCACTGATTTCTTAAGCTATGCATGTTGCAAAACCACTCTTAGGTGAAACTGTGAATGAGTCTGTGGTTGGATAATTGTGGTCTTCATAGCCCCTTAGCCGTCCTTTCTCGTAACACCTCCTTCCCGCACACAAAAAAAGGCAGTTGAGAATAACGCTCCAGTGAACCAACTTTTTGTATTCCATTCCTCCCGCATTCCCCCTGAAGCCCTGGGAACTACCCTTTTTTCCTGCCTGGCTCTGAGTTTCTGTAGCCTCTTGGTCTGTGGACATCTCTTCTTGCTGCTAGTCACTTCTTACATACTTCTAATTTCCAAATCCCTCTATTCCCCGCTCCGTTCTCTTTTTGCTAAAGTTGAATCCCCTAGAGCAGTGATCTTCAACTTTTTTTAAATCTCACAGCACACTTGAGCCCACAGTTAAACTTATGCAGTATGCCTAAATTATGTTGCTCAAAAAAGTTAAAAAGAGCATATATTTACTGTGCTTTAAACTTCTTTTGAAAATAATGATTCTGAAAAATTTTCGTGGCACACGTAAGATCCTCTCACTGTTTGAAAATCACTGCTGTAGAGGGAAGTTACCCTGCTGTCAATGTTCTACATTTTCTCCCCTCCTGTGCTAGAAAATAGCACCGATAGATTATGTCCTTCTCCTATGTCCTTCCCCTCAATCGTTGCTCTTTTCTCCTTTATTTCCCCTTCCCCCATGCCGTCCTTACTACAGCCAATTAATACCCAATCATTGTTTCCTTTGTAAATTACATGTGCAGCATTATATTCTTTTAGCCCCAATGTTGCATAGTTTTGAGGAGACAGCAACATTCCTGGTCATGGGAGGCAGCCTGGTATGGTGGAAATCACTGTGTGCTTTGGGGTCACATCAAACTTTGTTACCATGGGCGAATTACTTTTCAGTTTCTTGGTTTCCTCCTTCTGTATCATGGGGATAGTTGTGTTTACATTAAAGGGTTGTTGCTAGAATTAGAAAATGTGTGACGTGCTAGACACACAAGAAGTTACAATTCGATTTGTGTAGGAATACATTGGTAGAAGCACCTATGTCATATGCTAGTTTTATTACCTGGGAAAGAAGAGATTTTTGGTTTTTTAACTAAATTTCTGTTATATTTCTAGGCCAGATCTGTCATTTTTGTACTGTTTTTTTCCTCATAGGCCATGGTGTTTGAATGTGATTCCAATTCTTTGTTTTCTTCTAATAGTCCTTGAATTTCAGAGCAAAATCACTATCCTGGAATGAGCACCAGCCTTAATGTTCCTGTCAAGAACCATACCCAAGGTGTTCTACCTTTCGGAAGGGGTGTCTCATCTCTTGCCTACTCATTTTTCCCCTCCTTCAAAGGCAGCCTCTTCTCTAATTCACCCTGCAAAAGTAATGAAATTTGGTGCTATACATTTCACAGTGGGAAAGGGGACTTCTGCTGGATAGTTTTCAAGTGTTCATTCTGCTTCCCACTCCCACATTTGTTTGATCCTCAGATCGGTGTGGATATCCACTATTTGACATCTTAAGGAGAGCACGATAATTACCATCTGAAAGAGTTAGATTATTTAGAATACTAAGCTTCTTTTCCAAAGTGAATTATGGCTTGTTCTCTAATATACTACCTCCTTTTGTGTTTTTGCTATTTTATATGTTTAACATGCTTATTAAATAAAAGTGATTATATTTGACTTAGAGATAGTTTTCCTAATGGTTAATATTTTGATTAGAGCAATGTTAAAGTGAATGTTTTTTTTTTTCTAATTAGCTTGGCTGGATGATGGGGATTGAAGTGGGTATATGATGGCAAAGTGTATTAGGATTGAAAATTTACAATGGCTAACCATCTAATACATTATATGGGGGATCTAGTTTTGAGCTTCAGGGTTTACTTTATTTACTTTGAAGTTATTTGGAGGAAATCTCCCTTTTTCGTTAGAGGACAAGAGATAACTTTTTCTTTTGAGATTTTTACCTTGGTGCATTTAACAATGGGTTAAGCAGTGATCACAAGTTAACTAAACCTCAATTTGATTTTTGTCATTCAGAATTAGAATAAATCTGGGAATAATAATCTAGGTGTGATCTAAAAGTTTAATTTATTCTAGGTAGATCTCTGAGAAGAGAGGAAGGAGTGGCAGTACCAAATAAAAACTTTGTCTAAGGTTCAATGGCAAAGTTCAGCCTGAGTTTCCAGGATGTTTATCGTTTGTCTCCCAGTATGGCCAAAAAGCATATATGAAGGTGAAGAATAATTTTTATGTGTACATACTTATTCACAAAAATACTAAATTAAAAATTGCTTTAGTATTAGTTTTTAGTGAGGATATAAAATTGTCTATGAAACTGACCATATTTCCTATAATTTCATTTGAGTTGAGAAATGATTTAACTTTTCAAGGATGTTGTCAAAGTGTCAGAAATATTGTTATAGCTATGGCTTCTGAATTCTTAAGTTATTTGCTCAAAGTAGGTCTTAGAAATGCAAATTAATATGTGAATGCTATTCCTTCAGAAATAATAACCGATTAATGTTTGAACATTGATAGAATGGTGAACCCCCCCACACACACCCTATTAAATGTATTGTATATCTCTTCCTCCTCCTCCCACTCCACCGTTTTTTTACAGGTCTTCCTGTAGCCTGACTTGAGTGAGTGAGTGCTCCAGAGGAACCAGCAGACCAACTTGGTCAGGAAGGTTCGGGAAGCTATTGGTGCAGTTTGGGGATTTCCCACCAGGATGAGTATGACTGGCTGTGATTTTAGGTTAGTTATTGTAAATCTTCCGGAGTAGTATTTCTATTTTACTTCCTGGAATGGAGATAGTGGGAGGTGTGTGTATATTTCCATTTTGTGATTGAACTACTTTGGTTTCTTCCAGTGTCTGGATCTGATATAGCAGTGGTTGCTTCCTAACTTTAAGTGGAGCTTATTACTGAGTTAAATGGAAGTGTTTAATGCAGTCTGTACATGATTTTTAAATTACCTTAAGCATCATTTGAAAAATAAAATTGCAAAATAATATGTCTAACTAATTCTTTTTTCAGACCTAGAAAAATTGAATAGTATAATGATTCCCCCATATACTTATCACCAGTATCAACTTGCAGTTACTCTTATTTCATCTGTACTTATGCATACTGACTCCCCAGTGGCTTAATTTGAAATAAATCTCTACTGTCATATTTTTATTTGTAAAGTCTTTATGTCTCTAAAAGGCAAGAGCCCTTTAAACCTAACCTCAAAACCATTATTACAACTGAAAAAAATTGAGTGATTTCCTTTTTTTTTTTTTTTTTTTTTGAGACAGAGTCTTACTTTGTCATCCTTGGTAGAGTGCGGTGATGTCACAGCTCACAGCAACTCTGGGGCTTAAGCGATTCTCTTGCCTTAGCCTCCCAAGTAGCAGGGACTACAGGCACCCACCACAACACTGGGCTATTTTTTTTTTTTTGGAAGAGATGAGGTCTTGCTCTGGCTCAGGCTGGTCTCAAGAACTCAGGCAATCCACCAGCCTTGGCCTCCCAGAGTACTAGGATTACAGGTGTGAGCCACCACATCTGTCATAACAGTGATTTTTAAATAACAAATACAAAATGTATTCAAATTTTCCTGGTTTTCTCAGTTTTGTTTTGTTTTTTTACAGTTTTATTTTAATCAGCATGCACAGAAAGTATTTATCACAAAGAGTTGATATAGTTCTTTAATGGTTTTAATCTTCAGGTTGTGTCCGTTTCATTTTTTTTTTTTCTTCCAGTTATTTGTTGAAGAAATTGCCTTATAGAGTTCCCATCAGGCATGGGGATTATATCCCAATGGTATTGCTAACCCATTCTTGCTAAATTAAAGACTCTGGAGGACCCATTATAATGGAACAATGGCAGTAATCTCCTGTATCCCTGTTGGAGTTGATACTGCTGGCCTAGGCATTATCCTAAAACTAGTCATGGATTCCTTTTTCTGTGGCAGAGTCCGATTTGATAACTAACTTCACTTCCTGTCTTGGCCCTGCTTACTATTCTGCATGAAAAGTAGGCCTCCTCCTGGAAGAAGCTAATGTTTCCTAGATAATCACCTGATTGTGCCTTTGAGGTTTTTCATGCATGGTTTCAATTTTCTTAGGTGGTTTAGTTATTTTTTATACTATCTTAAAATGTTGCTTTTTATTCTTTTCATGTTGGTATCTTAGCTGCTCT